TGGCACATGGAATATTAAATGTGACCTCTATAGCTCTTAGTCTATTCACAAAGACCACAGTAGACATCCATTAATGCAGCATTAATGTGAAATGCAAAGAGTATTAAATTGTAGAGAAAGAAAAAAAGTTTTCATTTTGATTTGAATTTATCATATAAGAGGTTGCATTCTTTTAAAATTAGTAAAGGAATAAAGAAGCATATTTGCGCACTCTTTGAATACACTTAATCGGAATTTGCCCAAACATTTCCAACAGTATTTGGGCCGGAGATTTGGTGACGTCACTCGCATCCAAAGTATTACAACGTAACGGTCCCGATGAGAAGCGATTTTTCCACTCCGTTACCGACCGGTGATCTGTTCCGAACGCATCCTCACTGACGCAAATCATATTGCATGGAAGGGTTCCAATCTCGAAAACTAAGCGTTATTCTAGTTTCACATAAGGGTAGAGCAGTGAGGAAGAACAGTAGACAGTGCAGTATTACTATGGTACTTACTATTAATACAGTACTCTTTGGTATCAGCGTTGTGTGTCGGTCTACTATTCTACTGCACAGCCTTCGTGTAAAACTAGCATTACTTTTATTCCCCGAATCTTCGATTGAACATTGTTTATTCACGCAGCCGTCCCTTTCTGAATTATGTATATCTTATTAGTGCGAAAGAGAAAACGAAAACGTCGTTAAACGCCTTAATCGTATCGCCGCGAATAAGGGTGCAGATTTGACAAGTCATTGCTCCAGAATTTTGTTGTGAATCAATCTTTCGATAAAACATTTTCTCTTTGAATGTTATTAGGCGGTTTAATAAAAGACAATGTTTATTGTTTTCTGAAAAATAAAATGTTGACGAGGAACCTTTATGTTTTAACTCATGCTGAGTAAAGCAAACCAACGTAACTAAATCTGTAGTAAATAAGTTTAGAAATTAATTATAATGGTGGCTTATCTTTATGATCATCATCATTATCATCACCATCTCACCGAGGGGTTGGAGCCTACCCTAAGTTAAGGGTGATTAGGCCATAGTCAACCACGCTGGCCAAGTGCGGGTTGGTGGACTTCACACATATCTTTTGAATTTCTTTCAGATATTTGCAGGTTGCATCACGATGTTTTCCTTCACAGTAAGAACGTCGGATAAATGTACATATGTAAATCGAAAATCGAAAAACACATTGGTACATAGCGGGATTCGAACTCAGGACCAGAAGATTGCAAATCAAGTGCTTAACCCCTGAGCCACCGACGCTCTTTTTTGACGAACTTCGACGATCTTTATGACATAGTATTAAAATCGAGCAATGAACGATCACGATGATATTATAAGACGAAGTGTACTTCAATACTTAAAGTTAAAAGTCTACTTTCTTATTACAATGATAACTATTTTACAAACTTTAGAAAATATATTACGCTAAAGTACTTCAGATATTCCAGTTGATTGGAAATTGGAAAGCAATTCAACCCTAAATCGTGTCTGAAGTCAGTTTCGCGAGAAGAGGGAATGAGCTTTATTTATCTTCCAAGTGCCGTCTCATGTCGCAACCATTCTTTACCTTTTTCTATTTATTTTTGTACTAACATACATGTCGCTTAACCGCTGTGATGACTGTGCAAAAGCAGCGATGAATTAAGGGGTTTGAAAATAAAATTTACGACTTATAGCAATACAGATTTTATATACCTAAAAATGTTACATGTTACAAAAGTAAGCAATTTATTAACCAAAATCAACACAGACTTTTTAACTAAACTATTTTATCTAGATATCTAAATATATAACTATTAAACTAACTCGATTGAATGGTGTACATTTAATCTACCTATTTACTATACAGATTAATAAAATTGGAATTTCCGTACGTAACATCAAAAAAACATATTTCGTACACATGATGTATTCGCTGCTTATAACGAAAACCCAATTTGTAAAATATTTGTCTGTCTGTTTGTCTCTGCGTGTGCTACAGGCAATCTCCAGAATGGTTGGACAATTTTAAAGAGACCATAACGGAAATGTAACTGATATACGTGGTAATATTATAAGTCACTTTTTTCTAGGGACATAAACACGCGGGCGTCCGCTAGTCTTGTTATAAGAATAAACTAGCGATTACAACCGGCAGTTATTCCAGTAATCAACTAATAACTTATCTTAAAAATAGTAACTGTGTGATGTCTAGATGACAAGGCACAGTTCGTAACTGACCTAGGGACGACGGTCGTTTACTTCCTCGTTCACTGTTCTCATACAATGATATAAATAAAAAAATGTTAAAATAGTGTTGCCTCGTGTGAATTTGTAAAAGTGAATATTGAAAATGGATTCAAAATATGTAGGTAAGTATTATTATATTATAGTTTTTTTATATTTATGTTAAATTTTATCTAGTTTTAAATCGACATTTTCTATCCACAGTCTTGTCATTGTCTTGTTATTCTTAAACTCATTATACTGTCTATATTTTTTTACCAAAATTTACATGAAGTATAAAATAAAACACGTAAAATTCTATAAATAATTAATATTTATACAATCGTTAATTTTAACTTTTGTAAACATATTTAACGTTGAGAAACAATCACCAAAAACTTTACCAACCTGAAAAAAACACATTTCACGCTCTATAAAAATGAGTTGACACAGATTCGTACGGTAAAATAACAAATATTAAATCTCCAATACATGAATTTTGTAAATTACAATTAAATTAATTAAATATTTAGATATCATCTATACGTGTTTTAAGAAATGACGTCACGAAAACCAATCGGTAAAATATTTTTAAACGGAGATTTTGGTCTCAGAAACCCACGGTTTGTCAATAAATGCGAATGTTTAGATTGATGGATGGATGGATGGATGTGTGTTTGAAGGTAGCTCCAGAACGGTTGCACGGATCTAGCTGAAATTTGGCATAGATGTAAAAAGAACACAGTCTTCAAAAACACAAAGGCTAGTAATTGAGTTTTTCTTTAATTCCACGCGGATAGAGTCGCGGGCGACAGCTAGTGTATAATGAAATTGAAATAATAACAAAACCTTAATCTAAAACAAAATTATATTATAATAAACGTAATTATATAATATAGATTACGCGTTATAGTTTTGATAACAATGAATCACAAAAAACAACATTGCTGTTGCGTGTAATAACATTGAAATGGCATATTTAACATTTGAATAAGAACAAACGTAGAATCGTATTTCTTACAATACGACGTACAAATAGATTCCGTCAACTGAGATATGATCTACTCGTAGATACAATTTCCAAGGCCAATGAATTATAGTATGGAATGCACATACAAACAAAACATGTTGTTCAATGGAAAAATATAGAGAAAATAACAACAAAGTGGACACTTACGTTCGATTAAAAATAAAATAATCATCTAATCCATACCATTGAAGCAATTGAATAACAATTATCTTCAATGGAATTTAACTGAGGAATACTCAGAACACAATATCTTATGGATACCTTATAATATGTTCATCAGTAATCTAATTAGTTATACCATGCCAATTAAATTAATTAACCTTAAGTATCTTAAAATAAATATCAACACGTGGTTACTAATCAGTCCGTTCACCGTTAGCGTAACTAATTTAACCTTAACCATGACCAACCTTATTCAAGCATCGGCACGAACGGCCACGGGATTGCGTTCGAATCGTAAAGCCGTGGTGACGTGATACACCGTGCGAAATGACATTCGCCGTCTTACGTAGGCAAACGGTTGTTAAAATTATTTACTACGAACATTACTGTTGCAATGCACATTTGGTAAACATATTTCTTCACATACCACAAATCGAATACTAGTATTTAACTACGCTATCGGTTTCTTAAGGGGGATATTTATATTTGAAATCATATTACAATAATGTAAAAAAAAGTCTATGTTACTCAGGGATAACCGAGCATTCTATTGATAAAAGAATTTTGAAAATCAGTTTAGTAGTTTTTAAGTTTATTCGTTACACACATGAGAAAACTTTATAGTAAAGAGCACACGTAAAAATATTGATATATAGAAGAAGCGAGAGTAGTGTTGCCAAGGCTGCAACAAATGAAATCGTACATCGTACTTAACATGCTTTGCCTTATATTACGTTGTACAAATTATATCTAATGTTTGTCCAAACTTCAAACAAACTTTTGTTCGAACCTGAATCAGTAATGGTGATGAATAGTTTGCTTTAACAGTTTATAGAAACACTTTGTTCATATACAGAAATTTCAATTCGAACGATGTCAAACATAAACTTTTAACTAGTCTTTAGAAGTTTCGCCAAGTTTAGTAAGACCCAGCAAGTTATGTTAATGTTTACTAATTCCGTGCAGTGTACATTTACAAGTTAAACGAACTAAAATGTCATCTCATTTATACGAAAAAATTAATGTTTCTCTTTTGAAAATGTAATTTTGTAATTGAAATTAACAAATTTAGTAAATCGTACGTTTGTAATGGTAACGCAAACTTATAATTTTAAATTGTCCTACCCTGTAGAAATTAAACGTTTATTTTTCGCGACGTCATCGGCTCTCCTATTATAATATAACTAGCTGTCGCCCGTGACTCCGCACGCGCGGCATTAAAAACTTAATTAATAGTCTATGTGTTCTTGCCAAATACCATCTAGATCCCTTCAGCCGTTCCGTTGATACCTTCTAGCAAACATTCATCTAAACTTTCGCATTTATAATATTAGTAAAAGCAAAAGTAAACATTAAGTATTAAATAAATATCTTACCCTAAAATTGTTATTCATCATAACACTTTGGTGTAAAGTGTCGTAGCTCTGACGTCTCCAAAACTACATCAACGTAAACGCGTAACGTAAAACGTAGTAACTACGTAACAATCAGATTTACTGTGGTCGTAGTAGATCGTTATTTCCTTAATGTATAAATACAAAATTTTCATCAACCACCATTCATTTCATTTTCACTCCTGGTCGTGTTACGTGAAATCTAAAAAGTTTTCAAGATCTAAAATTTTGTGTTTAATTTTCTGTAAGAAAGGAAGATCGAAGATTTCACCAACACGTCACAAACAGGGTATGTATTAGGTATATTTTGTAAATGTGTGAAAATATTGAGCAGTGGTTAGTGAGTAATAACTTTTATGATATAGATTATGGGTTCAATACTGAAAAATTTTACATGAATTTTTTCTTAAAAATTACTTTCAGTAAGTGAATTCAGTCAGATAGTTATCAAATAAAAAACTAAGTATTATTTTTTTTTGTTGAACTTTTTTAATTCGTGAAACTCAAACAATTTGTAACATAGGCTGGAATAGGGTTTAGTATTTTGTGTTAAGTTGTCGATGGAGGAACCCACTTGTTGCTTGCTTGTGAAAAATTTGGCTGTAGTTGCATGCTTAGCGTTTTGCCAAAATAGTCTATTATTGTCACGCGACTTCGCTCTGCTTATTGAACTTTAGTAAACCTATTCCTACCTACCTATTCTGTTGTGATCCTATCAAATTTAACAACAATATAGGTATTCTGCCAGAAAATATATTTTTTTTACATTTTGTTTTGTTAATGTATCTTAAACGACTTTTCTAAAAACAAAGAAACATCTTTTTTTAAGCTGAGTCAAGGGAAAAGTTTTGATTAAGTCGGGATGGACGATAACATTGAATTGGGTAAACGAGTAAATTGTAAATAGACGTAACTTCGGGCCTCGATACCTCTTTTTTATTAAAGAAAAATTCTATTAACTTTCTTCTGATTGACTTTGTATTTCTTAAAACATTTTTATTTTTATGTTATTAATAACTTTTTAATAATTTACACTAGTATCGAAAATACAGTTTCACCACTCTTAAATTAAATTACATAACTTTTTAGAAATTTAATTTCACCTTTCTCGGAATATTTTTTGGGTCTTACAAGACTTATCTAGTTTAAAAAAAATTAGGTTATGTTTTTCCTAAATTAAAAAGTAGTAGTAAAGTGCTATGTAAAAAATCTTACATTTTTATAAATATCTACATCTATTATAAATATTGTGGGTAGAAGGCGTTATAAGAACTTTATATAAAAGTGTTACCGTTTCGTTAGTTCTCGGATTGTTACCGCCGCTGGGCGATACATAACTTTAACTTTCGAAGCACACGCTCTGAAATATTTATTCCTGAAACGTAAAGATCGGGTCGGGAGTTGGGTGCGGGGTGTGGGCGCTATGGAGGCCCTGGGGGGCGGCGGGGGGCGGTTTATCCCGCGGTTTCCTTCCCGCCGTGTTTTACTTCGAGAATGGGAAGTCGCCGCCGCCGGGTCGATATCGGCAAAGATAAAGCAACTTCTAGATACGTTCTTTCTCACTGATCTAATTAAACGAAACAGTTGGATAAGATCTTTTATTAAATGGCATACACTAATACGATAATTGTGTGGTGTGTGCTTTGCAAAGAAATTATTAACATTTTTTTTTAATTTCTTTAAATTCCAAAAAAACAAGAAGTAAAACCCCTGAACGTATTAGTGTAATAAATATTTTAACAAAGAAATGTTGATTGCTGAATTTTTCGTTAAAATCACTGAAAGTTGTTTTCGGTTCCTGAAAGCAATAGGTACATAATCTGTGGTGCTCCCCGACCTCCAGTGGGGGGAGGTGTTCGATTGTCTGCGGAGGCCCCGCCGGTGCCATCTGATGTGCCGAGAGCACTTCAGATCTGCATAGATCGTTGCCTTCGTTTTTTCCCTATCGAAAAATCAATACTCACAGTTTTATATAAATGGAGAGACACTGTTTAATACCATTACTGCTCAAGTCTTTGTTTTCTTCTATCAGTACATTGCGACAGATTTTGTTTTTCTTTTTAATTGTGTTTTCTTCCTTAATAAAATATCCTTATAATACTACATACCAACAACCAGTGCATGTATGCATACTATTCAGTTCATTTTTATTTCCTTTATTTGGCAATTCCTAGAAGGCTTAAAAGGACATATATATTATATAGGTCACTTATTCGTAGGCTTCGAAGGATTCGCACATAATGTGAAATGACTCTACCCAAAACCGTACCGAGCTTTCCGCCGCCCGATACCTCAAGGGGAAAAAGGCTCAAACACCCAGCAATAAAGCCTCCGCATCCAGCAAAACAAATACGAGGCACATTCCAATGCTAGATATCACTCGCCCCGCCTACACAGTCGGCATTACGACTGTACGCGTTGCGATTGGTCGCCGCGAAGCCTTCTCCATTTCGAATTGGTTATTTTTTTTCTTTCTACAATTGAAATTGGAACTGTCCGTTTGTTCTGCCGCGGTACGCATGCGTCGCGGGGCGGCTACGTTACGTACACGTAGCTACGTTGCCAGCTACGAATGTTTTATTGGACTGCTCTCTCCGTTCTCATTCGTATTTCGAATTCGAATGTGGATTTGTGGTCGGAATACGCAGCCCTCCCGCCCCTATACGTTTACGTTTGTGCCGTAAACGTATCTAATGTACCTAAGCTCTGTTCCTAATATCCTTTGTATCATTCTCTTTGTATTCTGTTTGAATTTCGTACTAATTTACTTCTTTGTTACAACCACTGAAAAAGTATTATTTGTATAAGATGCCATGTTCAAAATTTTAATTGCCTTTGTTTTGTTTTTGTAAAAGTATTTTAAGTACGCAATTGAGATTTTAGGAAACCATTTTTAAATGTATCGTAACCTGGTAATATCATATAAACGTAAAATACTGGCCGTTTTATTTAGGACCGTAAAAGGTGACAAAAAAAATCTTTTTCACTCTAGTGTCGCCTAGCTATTACCACCTACTTTGGGGAAAATGGCGCTATCTCACTACATCTCACGTTTGACCACTCATAGCCGATACTTATTGATAACCAAATTAATTGTGCTAAAACAGAAATATGTAATAATGCTGCCTATTAAAAGGCATACATAAATCTGGTCAATTTAATTTAAACTAATTAAGATTTTAATAACGAATATTGCAGTAAGGAGCTCGCCCCGTTGCATAGGTGGGTTATTAATTAAAATGCTTCAGCGGTGTATGTTCCATAAGTTGCCGTAATATGTGGTACAAAATGTTCCAACATATGCCGCCTAGAAATGTAATAACACATCGGCATCCATAGCAGGCACTCTCCGGAACAATTTCATTTGCGACTGGGCGAGGATAGCGTTGTAATTACAACAACAATCGATAGAGGCGCCACCGTCTGCCGCACGTTTAATCTCGCCAGAATCAAAGGACCGTCGCCTCACACCCACCCCCCTACAATAAACACCTACCCACAGCCGAGCAAACCCGTCGGACGTCCACCCGGCTATACATTGCCGTCCACGAAACACTCGTTTTGAATCTCGGGAACAAATGGTGCAATGGAAAACGTCATTCACTTTGAGATTGTTTCAAAACTCATTTAGTGGTGAATACATTGTGTCTCCAAGCCTATATCTGCAGAGGTATGTTGAGGTGTCCTCAGACCAGATAGTTGCATTTCCAGTCTGCTTATGTATAACTATTCATGGAGTTTTATTAAAGGCTAACATTGTTTGCTACTAGTTGGCGCTTTTATACTGGCGTCATCACTTGATGTCATATTGTTTGGCAAATATTGTCTACAAATTCTGACGAGAAATGTTTTGTTCAGTAGTGATAGTTCTTGTTAATCTTTGGTCGATTGGTTATAATTTTGATTATATTAAACTGGATTCAATAGTAATATATTAACATGACCATTTATTTTATTATCTTTGAAAATGCTTTTGTAATTGAATACTGACTGTTATTGAGTTTCAATAAACTTGCGGATAAAACTTTTTTTACGTTATTTTTAAATCGCTAAAACTATCGATTTCTTTTAAAACGATAACGATTCGTAATGCATATAAAACATATCAGTGCTATGAGTTTGTTTTTAAAATATAATTACGCGATGATTACGTTAGTGGTATACGAGTGGCGAGTGGCGAGTGGCGGCTGGCGAGTAGCGAGTGGCGAGTGGCTAGCGGTATTGAGTGCAGTAGAATTAAAACTGCTATGTATCGATTATGAATAATACGAGCACAATTTAACCGCAGTGGTCAGCGTTAGATAGTCTATTGTTTTACTAAATTATTACTAACCAGGCATTCAGAGAGTTCCAGTCACGATCAACCTTTGGTAAAAAAAGACAATAATGAGAGTTTTTTGATAAAATTATATATTTAATATGATGTTTGGTAAAAATGTTACTTCCCTCCGTCTTTTTTATTATGATAAAATAACAGAACAGTTAATAAATTCAATTATCTGCATAAGTTCAGTTAAGCAACACAAATACCACGGGTTATTAAATTCTTAAGACTACGACAGATATAAAAGGACTAACGAATCACAAACATTCTTCAATGTAGTGATGTTAAGTATGCTTATAATATGCTATATAATAAATATATAAGCCGCTATATTATCAAGAAAGAAAGAAAATGTAAGGAAGGTACTAATTATTACATGATATGCCGCTTATCCGATACCTTATAGGGGTAAAATTTTATATCAAACTTCATTTTCTCACTTCTAATCAGGTCGGTACACTATATCATTTATCAAATACTAGCTTTTGCCTGCGACTCCATACGCGCAGAATTAAAAATAAAAACTGAAAAAGTAACATATGCCCGTCTCCTGGTTCTATGCTACGTGGGGACGAATTTTCAATCAAAGCTTCAACCGTGAGTTGTAACTTACCCGAATTTCTTTATTCTTTTTTTTATTTATACATTTAAGTATACTATAGACAAGACATTTATATTTCGAATTCATATATATATATTACTCTACGTTATAAACGTCTTGTACATTGTTTATTAATTTGCATTCGCGTACCTAAAGCCTGCTAAGTGTCGAAACGATGCCACGTTGTGTATTATAAAGGAGAACTTCACATTACGTTACTACTCGAAAGCTGCCACGTAGCACGTAAACCGACACATACATATTTAACTACGTACAATCTATGGCTGCTTTATTTTTTCCTTTAAAGCTGATGGTAATTTAAAAAATCATAAGTTATTCCTGTTGTGTTCTTTTTTTGAAAAAC